TTGAATGTTTAAAGAAGGAAATTCTGTGAAACGTTCCAATTTCCATGGGAACGTAGTTTTATCGAATGATTTCGAGTTCGTGCACACATATACCAATTTCGAGACTCAGAAGTGCCTGTCACGAAATTACGGAAACATTCCGCGGCGTATGGAGCTACGTATGTGTGTAACTTATAGTTGCGTTAAGCTGGCGACCGGTCTTATTTATAGACGGCAGTCAATGAACACTCGCGATTGATTCGAATAAACGAATTCGGGTTAACGATTCGAGTTCACGCGATTTGCATTCGTCGTACAATATTCATTATCGACGGAACGTTTATGCGAGCGTGCAACTTAACCTTGTTTCTATCGGGGGGCGGTTTTGGGAGGGCTACAAAATGGCCACCGTGTACTTCCCCGCGAGCCCGCAGGGGGTCCGATTGTACCGCCAAATATATTAGTACGAGTTTCGCACGTTAAGGTCGACCGCGACATACATATGTATTGTGAATTACCGATACGAATTACGATGGAATAAGATAGAGAACTGTTTGTTTTAAGGGACGGAAAGATTCTCGTGNCCGCGACATACATATGTATTGTGAATTACCGATACGAATTACGATGGAATAAGATAGAGAACTGTTTGTTTTAAGGGACGGAAAGATTCTCGTGCCTGGTACTACTTACAAGTGAAATAGATCAACACGTGACTCTCTGTTTTACTCTCTTCTTTTTTTTGTTTAGTTCTTCGTGCTCGGTTGTGTGTCGTGCGATGTGTGTTATTAGTTTATCGGTGGCATATCTGAAGCCGGTTGAAGATCGCAGTCGTGCACGTGTTTCGGTTTGACGTAACGCTTTCGAGGCGGCGCGCTTTTAAACAACGTACAGAGCGTGTTAGCTATACAGGGTGTCCCAAAAATGTCTCGCAATCCGAGAATGGGAGGTTCCTGAGGTAATTCGAAGTAAGTTTGTCCTTGGCGAAAATGCAATTCACGGCTTTGTTTGCGAGTTATTAACGAAAAAGAGTGATCAATGAGAGGTCAGATATGCTGGCGCAAGGCGGCCGAGTCAATAAGCAGAACTGGGCTTCGCGCGCTCATTGGCTCGGTCGCCAAGCGCTAGGCGAGCTTGCCTCTCATTGGTCAGTGTTTTTCGTTAATAACTCGTAAACAAAGCCGCAGATTGCATTTCCGCAAAGGGAAAAGTTACTTAGAATGACCTCAGCTACCCCACATTTCCGTATTGCGAGACATTTTTGGAATACCCTGTAGATAACCATAAATACCTGAGTTGTTTTTCAAGATAATGGTGAATATTTTCGAAGCCTAAATATTTGTTTCCGAGAAATTGATGCTGTGACAACACAGGTTTCCTCGAAGTCGTGTTTCTCAAGATGATTGTGTTATTAAATGACCACCTGTTCAGTGATATATTCTGCCAAAATGATTCTCGTTGTTTGTGGATACAATTTTCGAAATTAATTTCATTGGAAATCGGGTCGACGGGGTTATTAAAATAGGAAGTGAAACGGTAATAACAAAGTGTAATCGAATAACATGCAATTCATCACGAGGCTTGATAAGTCACGGAAAGAGAGAAAGAGAGATAGAGAGAGAGAGAGAGAGAGAGAGAGGGAGAGAGCGCTAATAAAAAGTAAGTTACGATAGTATCCCAGCGATTTCTACGGCCGAGTTTCGCCAATTATGTAGTTAAGCATCAAAGTCACGGTTTTCAGGTCTCGATCTATTAAAAATCTCTCTATAGGTTATGGAACCCGACGTTTCGGCCATTCCGAACGTATCGATTGCGATCGCGCGATTTCACAATGGCCTTTCGTTCGGGTAACTGCAGTTTTTTTTCGAAACTTCGCGTCGATTCAGATTTTTACGTTGTTGCCTGAAACCGTGCAAATTATATTCAAGAAACTTACACTGAAAATTGATTTTATAACCTATATCGATGATCGAGCTCGAATAGGAAAGTGGGAAAAAATGGAAATTGTTTTGACGCGTAACATTTTCGATCATAGAGGTACTATGATTATTATCGATCGCATCGATTTTCGTGTGATTGATAAGGCGCGCGTTTTGCAATTGATCTCGAACCGTCCACCGTTTACTGTTATCGCCGGCGATACCGTCGCAAGAATTCACATTCTGCCGA